AACTAAGAAACCCCAACAACGACCTTTACTGAACTATGACGACGTATTGGACAACAAACCTTCCACTTCCCGGACTCCAACTTCCCGGACATCCAAAGGATGACATGGAAATCGACCGCATCGAAGCCTATATTCAGATCAAGAAAAAGGACCCACCAGAATCAGACCGTAAGCTGAGAAGCCATAACTAAGAAATATCAGTTTTTTCTAAGATCGAGTAAGATCTTTCTTAAGATCATTCAACTGCTGGAATGGAAAACAGGTCCAAAAATAATCAACTACATAAAAAACTTTATGATCAACAGCATACATCGAACCTATTTCCCCTATTCAATGGAATCCCCAAAGGTTCACCCATATCCGTAGTACTATTCCTCAAAGCTATCAATAAATTATCTAACATCATATCCTTTCACAACTTCTTCGCCGACGACTTCTTTCTCATAATAAATTTCAACAAAAACAAAAACACAGACTTCAGCATAGACAACCTCTTAAACAATATCGCGAATTGGGGCTCCTACTCAGGGGCATTGCTATCCCTATCCAAATGCAACACCTCCATATTTTTAAAAAACATAACTGCAGTTCCAGAATAAGCTCCATTAACGTACAAATTCCTACCGTTACTTCCTTAAAAATTCTAGGTATAACAATAAACAATAAATATAAATGGAACACACACATAAATTCACTTCTACCTAATCTCCACAATAAGCTAAATATAATAAAATGTCTATCCAGTCCAAAATTTAATTGGAACACGTATACACTCCTCGAAGTCGCCAAGGCAACGGTCATCGCCAAATTAGAATACGGTCTGTTTCTATACGGCCACGCTCCCAAATGCATTATAAAGAAATTAAAAACACCGCTCAACTCCGTAATCCGTCCACCCCAATAAACAACTTACTCTACGAAGCAAATATTCCCTCCTAGAAATGAAACGAGACCTTCAAACAGCCAAACTATCCCAAAACCTTATTATTCCCAAAACAAATTATTATTTGTCAAAGTTAAAAAATATAAAAAGAAAGCATTACCAATAACAGACCAGACCATCAAAATTAGCCTAGAACTTAATCTACCCTACAAATCAGAACAGCTCCATTAATACAGACCCTCCCCAATCTAATGGACACATCACTCCAAGCCCATAAAAAACTGTACGAACTCACAAAAAAACAATCTCAAACCACATACTTTCATATTCACTGACGGGTCAAAAATTAACTGCACCATAACATTCGCCGTCACAACGGAAACAAACATTTTAAAATACGACATACTGCCGCCATATTCATCCGTCCTCCTCAGAAACAATCGATGCGATAGATGCAATTGAACTTATTTAAAACCGAAAAGGCAAATTCATTATCTGTTCCGACTCCCTGTCAGCAATAGACTCAATCCAAAATTCAAATAACAGTTAGATCAGATCAGAATTAGATGAGTTTTAACACAACATGCTCGGAAATTAAAATATTGTGGATCCATAAAGGGAAACGAATTAGCCGACCAAGCTGCAAAATCAGCAGGCAATACGCCACTTATCCTTACCCGAAACATAAACCACACAGATATAAAAAGACATCACAAACAAAAGAAAACATTATAAACAAAAGGAAAACATTATACACTGCAGTCAATGGAACCAATCAATCAATATGAGTAACTCACACACCTGCGACTATCTTAAAAAATCCCACCCAAATTATACTAGACTCGACCAAATACAAATAATACGACTTCGACTAGGACACACGAAAATAAACCACCAATACTACCTGAACCCAAACTCTATACCAAATTGTCCTTTTGCCAAGGTGATGTTTCAATAAGCCATATACTTAACTCATGCCCATCCCTCCAACAAGCCAAACAAGCCACTTAACCGACCCAGATAACATAGAAAAAATCCTACTTTTTCTCAAAAAACAGAATTATACCATAAAATCTAAAAAATAAAAGTACAAATAATTTAGCACACTACCCAATATGATTAAGATTAAGATACATAGGCCCTGCACCTGCGCTATAATAATTAAGTTGGGTTAGTTTTGTACACTACTCTATCCACTTTAAACAAATAAAAATTAAATTGTCCTAAAACATTGCAAAACCAAAGCTGAAGTCACAGGCGGCGTAGCCCGCAATCCTCCACCAGCTCTCAATTGTAATTATTTGCTCCTTGCAATTGGAAAAACAAAAAACACTTGTAAATTAAACTTTGTCCAAGCTGAACAACTTAGGACACTGCCAGTCGCTGTTGCAGGTGAAATATATTTGAGTCGGCTCGTTTCGGCGGCCCATTTCCGCTGCTTACACACGGCCAAGATGTTTATGCTCTGAAATTCTTTTTGGACTGCTGGCCACCACTCGATTCCCCAGAAGGAACCAGAAGTATCCTTGCGCTGCAAGTCCTGCTGCAGGCACCCACCGTCTAGTCAACATGCGTTCGTGGGTGTCTGTAGCAGCCTAATTAAAATTCTGCATGGCATTTAATGCCGTTGATGAGAAAACGTGCTCGAGAAGGCGGAAATTTCCATTTAATGAAAATTTGCAACAAAAATTTGCAGCAGATAAAGCAAGTCGGGCTTCTCGACTATGAGGTGCGCATTGTTTCTTCGCAGACAGTTCCAAGTGATCATTTGCAGCGTATAAGCCAATATTTATTTACTTGTACCTTGTAGACAAAAGTTTTAAACTTATGCTACAATTAGAGATATCGGCTTTCAGACGGACTTCGACAATATTTACTTAGGTATGAAGTTACAGCAATATTTACAGTTACTTACAACATATATACAGTGATTCACATTACGAAGATTGGTTATGTGTGCTACGAAAGAAAGTTCACAGTGGATGGATTATGTTTGCTTTTCTCAGAAACTTGAGTAAATGTTCCAGATTTTCTGTAAGTGTAAATTCGAGTTGCTGGATGCAATCGTCTAGGATGTGGGGAATCGATATGTTATCGATATTGCAGAATCGGCATTGGCTGTTGGGTGACTGGGAGAATCGATGCTCATGGGTCAGTCAGGTGTGTCCTAGGCGTAGTCTTCTGATTTTTGAGATATCTCTTATGGGTATATCAGTTTTGTTTTCGTTATTTGGGGTTATCGATGAATTTGTAATGTCATTGGATTAGCCATTAATAATGTGTGTCTTTGTGTATCGATATATATCTGTGCGGTTAAAGTCTGATGCCGATGTTTACTTTGAGATCGTTGAGATGTAGAATGTTGTGTTGCTTATATTGGCAACTGCTTCTACTGTGGAAAGGGAGTCGGAGCAGATGCAGCTTTTCCCTCTTCTTGTTGCGGCTGTTTTTATTGCTTCCACGGTGGCTATGGCTTCTGCTGGGAATACTGGGGAGTAGCTTGGAAGCACTGCTTGTTTGCAAAGCCTGCTATTTCCTGGTTTCGAGAACCATCTGTGGATATATAAACTAATATATGTACACCCTTTTCGTATTTTTGTGGTATTGGGCTATCAAGCTTGAAGTAAAATAAGAGTGCAATTGGGAAAGACCAAAAGACTACCAGTAACTAGCTGTTACATGATGCTTAACGATGTAACAACCCCATCGCTCGACGAGTAAGGGGTATTCAAGGGAGACATCAGGGAAGCTGTACGGAAAGTGCATATAGATAGTAAAGCACAGGAGGAGGACCAGGCTCCTCCTGCTCATGTAATGCAATGATAGGAGTTGTGTACTAAGGTTGGAATTAAGCAAATTTCTCGAACACTCCAGCGCAGTTGACATTTTGTTATACTCGTGACAAAAAATGCTTATATATATTGAAACAGTTGGAAAGTGGATACGCCCCGTGGTCCTTGAATGACATATAGTGTCAGATTACTTACAAGCAGGTATAATTCTCAAACTGTAAAGAAATTAACATTGTTTTCACAAACCTGTAACACATTGCTCAAACGAACTTCTTTTAAATCATCCCCATACGCACTGTTCCACTTCCCCTGCCTAACGCTTAATTTAAAATAAATGGAAAAATAAGGATACAAAGGGCGATAAGAATTTGTGTCCCCAATTCAGCAAACTGCACCATTTTTGCACCAGTGGATATTGTAGGCAGTGCGCAAATACAATAGCGAGTGCAAATATCAACTGCAATCAAATGAAAACCCGTTTTCGCTTTTGTTTGAAAGTTTCTTGTCATTTATTAATATTTTACTTTGTGTTGCTTGCCATACAATATTATTGTTTTTTGGGTTTTAATTTATTACATTTATTGTATGTTTGCTCTATACTTGTTAATTTTTACCTCTGCATTGTGTATGTTTTGCGATTCCGGTTTTTAAGCCCTACAGTTGAACAAGAATCGAAGAAAAGGGCTTTTCCATGGCAGCGAATGCATCAATATGTGTTGGCTTTTCGTAGAGCATAACAAAGCTTTGTTTAATTTTATATTTCCACTTCAGTTTGGGTCCCCCTCCCCTTGTTTTTGTGTAATTCGTGTTGTCTTAAGTTTGATTTTTTGATTTTTAATTGCGTTCTTTTGTGTTCCTATTCCTCTGGCCATTGTTATAGTTGTTGCTTAAGTTTGATGCATGCATAATACAGTTGTTGTTTCGTATGTCGCATATAACAATATTAAAATATTTGAGAAGTCCAGTCACACAGAAACGTACACGGGAAGAAATGGGAACCGAGTAGTTAGAAGTCTCGCAAGACCTCTTTGCATTAGCTCTTAGTTTCGGTGTGTGAATGTGTCTTTTGCTTGGAGTTTTGATTTCATTTCACTTGAACCGGTTGCTTAATTTTCTAGAAATTCTTTAGCCGTTTTATTATTAGTATTATGATTATTATTATTTTGCTTGTCGCTGCATTTGGCTTCTTGTCATCATGCGTAATGTTTACTTGCTAAAGTAAATAATTTATGTATTTCCCTTCTCCACTAAAGCTTAATTTGTTTTTGAGTTGAAAATTAGGAAAACCATACAGTTAACTATGAGAAAAATGTATGTATGTATATATATATGTATATGAAACTCTTTGAGTTCTGCTAACAATTATGCATACTTTGGGGTCTGCACTTAAACTAGTTAATGTTATTGTTTATCTTTTTATAATTATTTAGTTACTTTTGGTAATATGTCTTGCCGCTTTTGTATTGTTTTATATAACTAGTTTATTCTTGATTTCTCAGCGTTCGGTCTAAAAAAAAAAAACACAAAAACCCGCTCATACATTATTCATTCACTAAGTCTAGTTCAAAAAAAATTTTCTGCATGTGTGATTTCCATTACAGGTATATGTGTATATTTAAATATCTTTACGGCCATGTGTGTATTTCTTATAGATAGCATTATATAGAGCTTAGTTTGATTTAGATTCAACATTTACGGCTGAGATTTTGCTTTGATTCCACATTATTTACATTGAAAACTCCACATTGCCCTCCGATTTTCGCACTGTGCTCTACCTTCAATTGTCATAACTAAACGAACGTTGAACGCATCATCGTAATTATCACTAACCTAGATTTTCTTCATTTTTCTATATTTATCTCTTTTGCCTTTTTTTTGTTTTCCTATCGTAAATTAAATGCATGTGGGCACATTGAAAAACATAAAACTGCTTTACGCTTGTTCTGGTTGGTAAAAGTTTTTGACTCCATTTGGAATATGAAATATGCGAGTTTTTGCTCGCTTTTTTAGGGATTGCAGATTTGATTTGAAAGGGGTGCTGAAGTGGATGAAATCACTCTAAATTCCAATAAATCACGCCATCCATTTAATTATTAAAAGCGGATTTGAGTGTTAAATGTCAAAAAATGCAGCCTGCACAGGCGCTGGTAGATCCTCTTATAACTCATTTATTCTCGAATGGGTAAGCGATTATGTTTCACTATTTTCAGTTGGGTTGGATGTACAGAACCGCCGTGCTTGCTGCGCTTTAACGTTTTGTAAAGCAATACACATATCTAATCGTTAGCTGATTGAAACCAATTTCACACTCGCATAAGTACAAATAAGTGATGTAACACTTAAATTATTTGTTCCAAGCAATCCTCTGCGCATCTAAATGGATAGTTGCTACAGATAGTTGAGAGATGAGCCTTAAGAGAGACAGTCGTTGGGAAATAGCGGTATTCAGAAGGGAAGTTAATTTTTGAAAGCCTCTCATTTTTGAAAAGGACTTTTGAAAAGGCTCACTAAAGGCTGGGTTTCAAGCTGAATGTGGAATTGGGTGAAGTGCAGAAAATATGTTTTAGAAGCTAGCACCCCACGCGGCAACTGCTCCCACGCTTCTAGTATTTACTTAATCCTTCTGGTGGAGCGACTAACACACGCTCAAGTGGTTTGTATTGAGCACCACGCCGGCCGCCATGTAACCGTTATTCGGCCGGTGGGCGTGGGCATGGGCGTGGGCGTGGTTGTGATTGTGGTTGTGGTTGTGGGCGTGCCCTACGTCCACAGGAGCGTCGGCCACCACCAAGCCCACGCCCACAAGGGGAGCTCCCGCCTTGCCCAGAGGCAGGCCAACAATTGGCACGCCCCCGATGGGCGTGGTGGCGGTGGCGGTGGTGGTGGTGGAGCCGGTGCCCGTGCCCGTGCCACCTGTGCTGAGGCTGGTCCCGCTGATGTGCGCACTAATGCCGCTGGGCACACTGGACATGTGCGGCGAGCTCCCCGCGTCGGTCGAATTATTGGAGGCGTTCGAATTATTCGCTGCGGCTGCAGCCGCGGCCGCCGCTGCTGCTGCCACTGCTCCTGCATTGGCAGCGGTCCTGGTCAGCTCCTCGTTGGGTATGGAGAAGTGCCTGTAGGATATATACTCCGGCGGCAGGGCGGCCTGCCGCTTGGCGTTTTCGATGCGCTGCTTCTTCAGCTTGACATAGCTCAAAACCGAGATCATTACGATGAACACTATGATGCCCAGGCAACAGCCCACAATCAGGCCCAATCTTCTGGTCAGGATGGAGTGAATGAAGCCATTGCTGGAGAGCCCGTTCTCGTCGGTGACCAAGCTGGGCGTGGAGTCCAGTGTCTGGACATCTGTGCAGGCGGAGATGTGCGAGTTCTTCAGCACCTCCATCAGAGCGTGGTCCTGACCAATGGCGTTGTCCAGGTCCTGGTCAGGACTCTGGTTCTGGTTCTGGTTCTGGCTGTGGGTCTGGGCCATGCCTGCATTAGTGTGGCCATTGGAGTTCCGGTTGTGCTGATGCTGGTGCTGGTGCTGATAGGGCGAAAAGGACTCGGGCAGCGGCGCCGACATCACCACCGCCTCCTCCTCGTGCAAGGACTCGTTGGCATGGAGCCGTTGCAGAGCGTTCGCCAGCGGCTCCGAGAGCCAATTACCGCTCCCGATGACACAGATGTGATAGCGGGTATTGGGGCTCAGCTTGGTTAGCTTGGTCGAGCTGGCCGTCCCATTTAGCCGCTTGCCGTGGATCTGTGGAATAAATTAAGCAGGTTGTAAGATGGTTATTGTCATCGCCATGTAGCCATTGTCGTTTCCATTCTCGTTTTCATTTTCATCAGCATTTTCATCGCCGATGTCGATTCCGTGTCCGTGTCGCTTTATTAAAAACGTTCCCTGCGGCCCTCTGCTTTCCGCGGCCAAAGTGGCCGCAGTGGCCTGTTTGCTGGTGGATGATGGCGCGGAATGGGGAGCTGTGCGATCTGAAGGATAGGATTTATCGACAGGATAGTGGCTAATTGGCAGGGCATGAAGCTGCCAAGGACTTGGGACAAGCGGCACAAAAGAGCTAAAAGGATTATGGATAGGTGTGCGGGCTATTCAGCTATATTCACTACATTGAGGCCTTGTATTTTGGACATCATTTAGCTTTGACCTCTATGGACGCCTCTTATCGAAGAATACAGGAAGAAGTAATTAAATAATGGTATATCCGCCGTTAGGAACGTGTCGAATGTGCTCAGGGTTTAAAGAACCTACTTTGAACGTAATTCCGTGTTATGGAACATTTAAGAAACAGGGATTCTGTAACATGTAGCTCATACTTAATACACCATTGTGTAGGACTAGGATTAGTCTGGAGACGAGTGTTCGAATGGCGCTGAAAAGAATTGCTGTTTGCACAGGTCCTTACCTCATCGGTGGCGACGGGGAAGCGCTCCCTGTCCCGTTCCCGTTCCCTCTCGCGATCCCGCTCCCGCTCCCGTGCTCGCTGCTCCTGCTCCTGCTCCTGCTGCTGCGCCCGACTTCGCTGCCTGTCGGGGTCGTGAACCCTGTCCCTGTGACTATCCCGCTCACGGTTCGTTGGAGATCCGGCCGGAACGAGCCCGTCGCCAGTGGCGTGGTAAACAATTTCGAAGCCATTGAGGCCCAAATGGTCGCGGCTCTGCCAGGACACGACCACCGAGTACGGCTGAATGTCCTGGATGGCCATTTTGGGTATTAGCGGCGCGTCGCAAAACTGCTGCGGCTCCATCCTGCCGAACACCTTGCCCCGCAGCTCCGTCGGGTGTTCGCACCTCAGGTAATTAATGGAATCGCCGCCCAGCCCTCTGGTCAGTCCGCCTATTCCTCCTCCGGCGCCGGAGCCAGTGGAAAGAGACCATTTACGATGATCCCGCAACCATTCCCAGAGCTTCTGGGCATCACAGCTGCAATGCAGTGGATTCTCTGAAACGAGCACGCAATATGAGCAACAAATTGGCCATGACAACGGGTCGACAGAAGGTAATACTGCTGTGTTCCAAAAACTAAATATTTAAAGGCCGGTTATGCCAGGTATGTATGTTTCATCTCATGCCATGTATAAACAGGGGTAACAAAAACCAGTTTATTTCAGGTTAAAAGTTGACAGCTGGAAGAGCCCATTGAACTTTGACTCCTTAGTTTCGTACCAATGCAACTTTTTTTTACAAAACTAGGAGTCAATTAGTTGGCTTCTGTAATATTTTGGAAATTTAAACTATTGCTTAGAAGGATTCCGTGAATGAAGAGCGAGTTAAACAAAATGGCGTTTAAAATGAGTTCGGGAACCATCCAGATGACGAAGGAATAGCAAAGCACTTACCCTCCAGCCTCAGGGTTCTTAGATTGGTTTCCAGAGGCTTCAGGGGATCCAACGGCACCAGCTCGAAATAATTCTTGCGCAGATCCAGAACATGCAGCTTCCTCAAGAAGCGGAAGGCGTCGTTTGATAGAACCGTCATCCGATTGCCCATGAGCAGCAGTTCCAGCAGACCGTGCAGATTTCGGAAGGTCTTCTTTGAAATGCGGTCCAGCTGGTTGAAGCTCAGGTCCAGAGTTTGCATCTCCGCGAGATCGGCACTGAACTCCTCCAGATCCTTAAGGGTATTATGCGAAATATTGAGGAAACGCAGCAGCCGAAGTCCTTGCAGCCGCTCCTTGGGCAGCATTTCCAACTCATTGACGCTCAAGTCCAGAGTGAGCAGATTGGTCAGTGACTTAAAGGCGCCCGGGGATATTCTGGTGATTCTGTTGTTCACCAAGTGGAGGTGCTGCAACGCCTGGAAGGCCTCAAAGTCCTTGGACGTGAGTATGGAAAGGTTCGTCTGGCAAATGTAGAGTTCCTTTAGGTAGGGATACCGCTCTTCCTTCACAGTATAAATCCTGTTAATAGGGTTGCCAGTCAAGTTCAACCATGAGAGGCGTGGTATGGAAACATCCGACAAAGCTGATGAGGGTATTTGCAGGAATCGATTGCTGGACAAGTCCACCTTCTGCAAATTGATCGAATGACGCAGGAAATTAGCCGGCAATGACAGCAGTAGGTTGCCGCTCAAGTCCACACTGTCCAACTGGGTTAGGTTAACGGCATTAAAGCCACTCAAGGCGGTAATCTTATTGTCCCTCAGGATTAGTTGCCTGAGATTTAAGGTTCCGCTTAGCTTGAAGAAATCAATCGAGGTCAACTCGTTTCGTGCTAGGTCCAGGCTTTCCAATGTGCTCAGATTATAGAGAGCTATGTGCGGGAACTCGGAGAGTTGATTTCTGCAGAGCTTCAGCTCCTTAAACACATTCAGGCCACTGAAGATGTTCCGATTCATCTGGGTGAGTCGGTTGTCACACAGGTCTAGTCTGACCAAATTTGTGTTTTTGGCAAACAGCAAGTCGGGTATTTGTCCCAAGCTGCAGTTGGACATAGAGAGTTGCTGCAGGGAGCGAAGTCTATCAAACATTCCAGCCATGATGCCTACGGATCCGACGTAGCTGAAGTTGTTGTGGCTCAAAAGCAGTCTTCTGAGATTTGGTATATCTAGCTTTTGGATATCCGCTGGATTCAGTTGGTTCTTTTCCAGATTGAGCTCGTTAAGATTGGTCAGAGACTTAAACGCATGTTGCTCTAGTTTTCTTAGTGAACAATTTGCCAAATTTAGGGAGTTTAAGGGCAGTTCATCTAGGAAAACATCTCGTGTTAGTTGCACCAGCGGATTGTGAGAAAGATCCAGAGACTTTAGGTTCCTAAGCTTGGCAAAGGCATAACCTTCTATGGCCTCAATGTGATTTCGGGCAAGACTAAGTTCCTCGAGGCCCTGAAGCGGTGCGAAATAGTCCCTCCTTAGTTGCCTCAGTTGGTTGCCGCTTAAGTCAAGGAATTGCAGTAGTAACAAGTTCAAAAAAGTGTCCTTTTCTATATCTCGTATCCTATTGTCGCTCAGGTACAACCTCCCTAATTGAGGAGTATCGGCGAAGAAGGACCTCTCCACTCTGGTCAACTGATTGTCTTTTAGCCACATAATTTGCACCTTCTGTTGCCGACGAAAGGTGCGCTGGTGAACTTTGTGCAGGTAGTTGGATTCCAGCTGCACGGAAAGTAGGGAGGAGTTTTCGTCTGGGAAGATATCTTCCAGCACAGTTAGCTGATTATCCTGCAGATTTATGTGCTGCATATTTTCGAGAGTGCTAAACGCCTGCGGCTCGATATCCTCAATGCTGTTCTTCTGGATGTGCAACTCCTGAAGGGAGGGCAGGGGCTCAAACACCCCCCTTCTTACCCGACGGATGCGATTGTTGTGCAGCCTCACCTCCCGCAGGTGCTCCAACTTCCGGAACATGCCTATTTCCAGGTCCTGGATCTCGTTGTTGTCCAAGGAGAGCGATGTGAGCTTGGTGCTCTTATCAAACAGGGTCACGGGTAAGAGGGGTATGAAGTTTGACCTCAAGTACAGGTGATCGAGGTTAACCAGGGTGCTAAACACATTGGGATCTATGTGGGCTATGGCATTGGACTCCAGGTAAATGACATCGACATTTGTGGAGTTGGTAAACGCATCTGCCGGCAGCTCCAGGATGTTGTTCTCGCTCAGGAAGACCTCTCTTAACTGCGGTAGATCCGAAAACACCCCACCAATAGCGTGTATATGATTGTGGCTAAGATCCACCGTTTGCAGTCTCTTGTTCTTCTCGAATACCTTGGGATCCAATGCTATAATCCTGTTGTGTGACATATCCAGGGACATGAGCTCACGCAGGCTCTTGAAAGCCTCCGGTTGAACCAGCTCTATCTGATTGGCGTAGAAGGAGAGAGTCTTCAGTTGGGGAAAGGCCCTGAAGCAGTCGTCTCCGATTTCGGCAAAGTGATTGGAGCTCAGATCCAGAAAAATCAGGGATGGCAGCTGGAACGCACCTACTGCAGCCGCCGCCGCCGAGGCATTGTTTGTGGCCAACTGGATGTCCCCGTAGAAGGTGGGAATCCGGTTGTTCGAGAGCCGCAGGATTCGCAGGTGGTCCAGTTTCCGGAGGGCCATCAGTGGAAAGGTGCGCAGTCCGTTCTCCGAGACGTCTATCTCCTGCATGCACTCCTCCAACCCGGCAAAGGCGTGCTCCGGCATTCCCTGCAGCCGGTTACCCTTCAGGTTCAGTTTGGAGATCCGCAGCCCGTAGAAGCTGTAGTCCTCTACCCGCACGATCTCGTTGTAGTCAAAATCTAGGGCCGTCAGCTTTTGCATCGAGCTTAGAGCTCGGGATGGCATCTGGAAACATAAGAACAAAAATTAATGTATTTATTTTGGTCCTAACGAAGGAGGCAATATTTCCTCCTATATTTGGTTGGCAGTGTAAAATCCATGAAGATATTTACTTCCTTGACTCTTTTCCTCTGCTTCTTTGCATAAAATCATTTTCACGCCATAACTATGGATTTTCCGGGTTTTTATTTTATTATGAGCAACCTAAAGCACTTACGAGTATATGCATCTTAAAATGTTGACCATTCAGCATTTACAGAGGTTATTTTCAGTTTTGCCCATTTGATAGTAACAACAATAAGCCAATACATTATTGTAACTCCATCGAGCTGGCCGACTAGAAGATTTACTGTCAGATAATGTCGTTGGGAACTGGTTATGCATCGATTTTTATACTTGAGCTGTAGAGCAATGAGGCGTATCCGACTTTATAAAGAATAAGTTAAGATTCTTGATCAGCATCACTAGCCGAATCGATCTAGTCATATCCCTCTCTTTTTGTTCCGTCTTTTTATTTTATAGAAACACAGTTCTACATCCTTTATGACGAATCTAATATGCCCTCGGAATATGTATATATTCTCGTTTTCCTTTTGTATACCATTACCCTTAAGTTAATGATATTTGGCTTTTTATTAAACGGTTGAATATAACTGAATAAAATTACCGCTTATCACCATTGTAATTCATAAAAAAAAAAGAATTCGTAAAAGAAAAAAATACTATTACTTTTGCGCTAAGTACTACACGAGAGCTTGTTTTTGTTTTGTTTGTGCGCCCGTGTGGTTAAGATAATTGTTTGACTTACAATGTTTTTAAGAAATTTTTATTAAAAATCTGGAAACGTTGAATAGCCATTTCATAAAATATTGAAAAGAGAAACAGGAGCCTCCTCATTCGGCTTGCGCGTTTATTTGCTCATCTGCTTTGAAAACAAGTAAATTCCACTCGTCGGCATTAAGCTAAAAGCTCTTTCGATTTGATATGCATATTTGAAATTTACAAGACTATTGAAGAAATGAAAAATATTAAAACATTTTTCAACAGTGAAGGCGTGGCAGTCTTGGTCGGATTATGGGCGGTAGAGTTGGCAAATAGATAGAAATGTACAAGACTAAAAATTTAAAAATATTATTCAAAAGTGTGACAGTTTTGGACGGTATAGGGTATAGGGTATCTGACAGTCGGGGAACTCGACTATAGCATTCTCTCTTATTTTTCGATTATTTCTTAGGCAGTTATAATATATACATTATATATTACTATATGAAATAGAAGCGAGACTTTTGGAATGGTTTCAATGAGCAACTAGTTTACATATTTTAGAAGGACTCAGTCCTCGCTACTGATGTACAAATATACTCTTGTGCTCCGAGACACTTTATCCACAAGTGTTTCAAAGAATCTAATATACCATTGTCCTCTACGAAATACCATTTACGTGTATATTGAAAATCGATTGTTTAAGCTTATATCACCGTGCCAGCACGGTTTTTTGAAGATAACTTCCTTTCTAATGCAGGGCTTCAAACATAATTTTCAAAGAGATGACATCTACACAGACTGTAGTAAAGTTGACTCTGTTTAAAATTCACTTTTGGTTAGGAAACTTGATTTAATAGGATTTCCGGTTGATCTTCTAAATTGGATTTTAAGTTATCTTAATGGCAGGAAGCAAAGGGTCCTCTACAAAAATTCGGAGTCACATCCGGCGTGTCACAAGGGACTTCTTTTACTTTATTTAATAACGACCTTCCATTGGTAATAAAACATTCGCAGGCGATGTTAAATTATGCCTGCAATATAAGGACTTTTCTTGCCATTCGGACTTACAATCCGATCTAGATAGCTTTCAAATATGGAGCCGTGATAACGTAGTAAACTTAAAAGGCTCCAAGTGTAAAGCTATGACCTTTTGCCGTGTCAACCCAAGACACGTGACTTACACTCGAAGTGGGTGCTCTTTGGACAGAATAAAATGTGTCAATGATCTTGGTGTTCTTCTCGACCCTAATCTAAAATTTCAGACCATATTTCGTCCATTGTCAATGAGGCCAGGGGTATGTTTAGTTTTACAAAGAGGTGGTCAACGGAATTTAATGATCCTTGACCAAATCATTCCGTCCGATTATTGAGTATGGATCACCCGTTTGGAGTCCGCAATACGCAGTTCACTCGGACCGCATTGAATCGGTACAACTTTCGTGGGGAAGTTAATAGTCCCGACTTGGCTTCTCTGTTCCACGCAGGTTCACTAGAAACTACTTACCCCCAATTTAATTCGTTGTAGATCTAACTATGAGTTGCATGACCCCTACGGAGTATTATGTTCGGACTTTAATAGATTTTATACCATTATCCATGATCCTGACTCTGCCGCTCTTAAAGCGATCAGTACTAACTTTTTAACGCCTAATTAGATCTTACTATACTCACATATTTCCTCGTTCTTTGCTATTTTCTATAGCAAAAAAGAAAAACAGTTCATGATATTACTAAGAGAACTCCTAGTTTCCTTTCTAATATAACACTTTTTTCGGAGCAGGAATGATTATTTTTATTTATTTTAAGCACAGGAGGGCTTTTCAATTAGCCTGGAATGAATAGGTAATCTAATCGCACGCTGTTCTAGCAAATCTCCACTTGCATTTAAGGTTTCAGTAGGCATCTGGCCGACTCCTGACCATCCTGTCTCGCTCAATCTTGCCTGCCACTGCAACATCGGACAGGTCCGCCTGCCTATGGCGAACGCGAATCGGGGCGATGGTAGTGCCCGTAGCGCGGCGACGAGCGGGAGTAGGAGCGCGAGTGCGAGCGGTTGCGCCGATGGAAGCGCGAACCCGACTTCGAGCGGAAGCGGGAGTGGGAGTGGGAGTCGGAGTGGGAGTGGGAGGAGCGCGACCCGGACTGGGAGCCGGACACCGAGCGGGACGGCGATCGCGAGCGGGACATCGAACGCGAGCGGGACAGTGTACGCTGGCTCTGGCGCCGGTTGACCGGCGAGTAACGGCGGTATTGGCGCCACGGCGCCTTAAGCATGCTCTCCTGGAAGGCGGACACCCTGATCCGCTTGCCGTCGATCTGGCCGCCGTTCATGTGCTTGATGGCACTGGCGCAGTCTTCTGGGCGCGAGTACTCCACGAAGGCGTATCCTCGACCCTGGCGCCCTTGGTAGCGGTCCATTGGGAAGTCGACTGCCGTCAGGGGTCCGAAGTGGCCAAATATCTCGGTGACGTGCTCCTTGGTCACCTGACGCGTCAGTCCCTTAATGTGGAGGCGCACATTACGCACGGGCTGGCGAAATCTGAAGGCGTCCTTTCCGTTTCTGTAGGACGTTTTCTGGCCCTCATTCACTGCTCTGTAGCCCCGTCCCTTTGCTTCTCCTCCTCCTCCATCACTTCCTCCATCACTTCCTCCATCACTTCCTCCATCCCCTCCTCCATCCGCTCCTCCACGCCGATGGTTCCACTGGTTGTTTTGGCTTTGACCACCATGTCTTTGGCGACTAGCCTCTGCGCTAGTGGACGGGGAGGAACCCTGACGTGGTCGATCGTTGGCTGACGACCTGCCCTTGGAGCCGGAGCTGCCTAAGCGATCGTGCTGTGGGCTCTTGATGTGCTCCTTGGCTGCCGAGGGCTTGCTACTGGAGTGCGCCTGGACGAAACTCGAGCTGGAGCTGGAATTGGTGTGGTCCCCGTGGCTCGAACTCGCGCTGGGGTTGGACCTGACCACCGCCTTCGAGGAGGTGCCTGCCACTGGGGTCTTGGGGGCATGGTTGACCGCCTTGCTGCCTGCGGGATGGGTCACAATCGTCTTTGCAGATTGCCCGGTGCTGCCGCCAGCCTTAATTTTTGTGCTGGCGCTGGCGCTGCCACTGGAGTGGCTTTCGGCCATGGCAGTAGCGTTGGCAATCGTCTTGGTGATGGTTATTGTGCTCGACTGGATGATGGCATGGTTGGCGCCGCTGGAACTGCTGGCGGCCGAGGTGATGGTCTGCGAAGTGGAGCTGCGCATGCGGGACTTGCGGTCCAATACGGAGCAGTTTGGGTCCCTCTTCGCAGTCAGCAAGGCGATAGGAGCAGGATTTGGAACCGGAACGGGGGCCGGAACGGGTTGCGGCTGGGGATTGCTATGGGATTGGGAGTGGGAATGGGAATGGGAATGGGAATGGGAATGTAATTGCGAACGGGAGTGGGAGCGGGAGTGGGGCTGGGAATGCGGTTGCGGTTGCGACTCCGGAATAGACAGGCAAGCCAAAATGGGTGCCGGCACGGGGAGCGGAATGGGGGCCGGTATCTGAATGACCCCTGGGGCTGGGGCTGCGGCTGAGGCAGGAGAAACTGCTGCGTCAATCTCCTCCTTAATCGGGACAGCGCCCTTGGCGGCGGATATGCCGCGACGACTCTTCTTAGCCAAGCGCTTGGAGGAGCGCCCGTGATTCGAGTGATGGCAACGGATGGCGTGCCGGCGACGGTGCGAGTGACGAGGATTGTGGTGGCGCCGATGGCGACGATAGTGTCGGTGATGGCAGCACGAGTGCTTGCTGCGCTCAAACTTCTTGCCGGTGCCTTCTGGCTCCGCCTCGCTGTCGCTGGACGAGGAGCTGCTGCTGGTGGAGCTCGAGAAGCTTGTGCAGCTGGAAGATTCGGTGGAGCTGTAGCTCGATTCAGAGTAGCTGGAGTCGCTGTAGCTGTCTTCTTCGGTGCTCTCTGAGGCCTTCGAGAGAATTGGCGAGATGTTCTTCATCCTGGATGAGGTGCCTCCGGCTGGCTCCCTGCGCTCCTTGCGATCCCTGTGCATGTCCCTGAGGTCCCTGAGGTCCCTGTGGTCCCTGTGGTCCCTGCGGTCATTGCGATCATGGCGATCATGGCGGTCCTTGCGCTCCTTGCGCTCCCTCCGATCTTTCTTGTGCGAATGCAGCTCCCTGCGTTCGCGCTTAGTGGCTGGCTCACCCTCGTCCCTTGGTTTCGTTCCCGTCACCTTGGTCATTTTCCACAAGCTGAATTTTCACTGCGAAAAAATTTGACGGCCTTCGAAACTTTTCTCGATTTGCTGCTACGTTAGTCACACGTTGGGGACGGCTGCCTTATGAACTGTGCTGGGGTGAAAAAATGTGGGTCGACAACTGTCACAAAAATGAAAGGTAGCCAGGCAAAGGCAACTCGATGGGAGAAAACACCTTTCTCGGTCCTTGGTTGCCACCTTAAGGTCACCTTAAAATCGAAATCCTAAGCAATTTACCACTAGACCACACACAAGATTCACTTTTGAGGTGTCTAACGACGCAATTTTCTAGAGCGGATTCCAAGCTACTACCTACAATTTAAAGTTTTTTAAAATTCTCTCTAGGCACTGTGGATATCGTTGTCCAACCCTTTCAAATCCAGGGATGTAACTATCGTCATTAAGGGAGGCAATCCTATAACCTGTCAACATACCTCAAGTATGCAAAAGCGAGCAAAGGAAGCTAGTTTCGCCAACCCGAAGCTGATATACCCTTGCAGTTACATATTGTACATTTAATAGCAAATTCGTTCTATTCGGCGTTCCAAGGTACGACACTTTTTTATTAAAAGCAAGATCGAATGCTATAGTCAAGTTCCCTATCAGATACCCGTTACTCAGCTAGTGGAAGTGCGAAAGAAAAATTTCATAATCTTCTGGAATATCGGTAAAAATTGCGAATAAACTGAGGAAAGTAAGAAAAATTAATAAAAAAAATAAAAATAAATATTAAATTATATTATATATATATATATATATATATATTATTATTATTGTAATATTTTATATATCTTGTAAATTTCTATAGATTTGGCAAAAACTTTTTGCCACGCCCACTCCAACGCCCACAAACCGCCAAAACTGTCACGTCCACACTTTTGAACTTCTTCACTCTTTTATATATCTTGTAAATTTCTATAGACTTGCAAAAAATAGCATTCTGTCTTGGTTTTTTTAAATGTTTCCGATCTTCCAGAAAATGTTGAAACATTTTGTTCGCACGAGTAACAGGTATCTGATAGTCGGCCAAATGCAGTGTAAAGGAAAATACAATTTGTTGGACATTTACAGCAATAAAACTTAATCTACCTGATTCCTCTGACATGAAATGTATTTTTATCATCATTTGTGTAGAGAAGGAGGGGTGATCTTAATTATTTCGCCTGAAATGTTTGGAATGCTTTCTGCAGCCAAAGTTTTTAGTAACTATGTTGAAATGATTCTTCGAAGCTGCCAATGCCACCTGCTGTCATGCAATTGAAAGTATTTTCTCGTTATATCTTTGTACGACCATCCGAGTGGAGGGAGTTTTAATTGCACTGATTGAGCAGAGTTTCCACCACACTGGCCACGTGTGGGTGAGCACTTCTGTGAGTGAATGCCAAAGGATCGAAAGGATGCAGATGCAGTGTCACCTGACATGGACAAAGCGAATTACGGCCTTTTAATTAATGTACTGACATGGAAATTTATGGCAGTCGATTTTAATTTATTGAACCTTTGCGCTGCCGTTTGGCGCCTTGCGAACGCGACACAGCCATCCAAGAGCGCCAGGACATGCGACTCCGCCCCGACTCGACCGAAATTTATGGCCAGTGGCTGGCCAGCTAAAAAATGTCTGCCATAAAATGATATTTATTTTTATTGTTGGCACATTATGAAATATTTATGGGCATTTTGAATTCCAAAGACAAAGAATAAGAAAGATTCACGGTTTTCCGCACTCTAATCCCTGATCACGGGTCGTTTCTTGGGGCACATGGCCCGCTTGAGCTACTGCTTCCAGATATCCAGCGACACTGGCTGCTGCACGTCTCTCGGAGCAACTCTCTTCCGGCGCTCCTGCGAATGCAGTTCTGCTCCAGGAGGCCACAGGGCAGGTATTGGTGGCTCTGTCGCGAACACAAAGGAGCCGTGGATTCCGCAGGTCCTGCCGGGTGCAGCGATCCCAGCAGCGGGGAGGGCGCGCGGTGCCATCGGCCTCAATGGCCACCACAATCGCAGCTGGGATAATGAGACATTATTAAGGGATATGTTTGGGCTTAGCTGGCTCTCAGTCAAGTCCTCCTCAAGCGAGTGATAACTGAATGATAGCCCCAAAAAGCCAGAGCTTTATAGTCATTGACTGTCATTATAGTCATTCTTCACCCCTCGTGACATATGGCGGCTTCTTTTGTTGGTGGCATTGTGGCTCGTTTCTGTTTTCAGTATAAAAGCCGATTTCGCTTAATTAAGGTAGGAATTAAGTAAGACCCTGCCTATTAGCATTTTTTAGTATATCGATCAGACTTCATTCATAGAAAGAATTACTATCTCTTCCTGGTTCTTGTCAGTCCCAGAAATGATAATTATGGACACTAGAATAATGTGCAAGCTGGACATGGGATCCGTTCTAGGTGTTGTAGAGTCTCTTCAATCCAATCGACCTTACTAACATTTAAAATGCAATTGCAATCGCTCTTGCGGCAGTTATTTGGAAAGCCCACTACCATCGAGTCCAGAGTGATTCGCGCCACGCCCCCTTTGCAATCTGCCGCCCAATGCACGCTTCCAGGACATATGCGTCCTCCTGGCTCTGAGTCGCGCGGAAGCCTCCTTCGAGTGCCCACACCCGAGAGCTGGACAACTGTCGGCTTCTCAACCAGAGTTGCCACGGCCGTCCGAGAAGCAGAAAGTAGTCGAAATGAGGGCTCCCTTAGGATGTGGTGTACTTGGAAGAACCGTTCCCAGAAACTCTTATAATGTCAATTTACCAAGGCAATATTGCATTGTGATTGTATGGGGTTATTTTCTAGACCGGCCCGATGCCTGTGAAAAAATGTGGCTGAAATAAATCAAGGCATGCTTTAAGCCTAAATTTAAACTCATCGAAACTCCGGGAAATTTCAGGGAAAACATGACTGTGATGCTGCTTTTTCTGGCTCTTGACCCCTTTTATGGAAGTTTGGATTTATGCCATACCTCGACTGCCTTAACATGGCTTTTCCGCGCACATGTTGCCTTCTTTATCAGCTCCTCAACTGTCTCTTTCTATGCGTTTCCGACAGGCCGATTTTGCCTGCAAATTATTTTATTGAACGCAATTGTTTTTGGCTTTGGCTTGGCTTTGGCTTTGGCTCGTTTGTTATTCGGCGGCGGTGGCAAATTACTTTTTATGGCTGGCGGCGGGCTTTTGACTTCCCATTTTACCATTTGCCATTCCGCGAGCCCATTTCCCGTTGCCACCGCCCCCGTTGAATGCGTGGCACTGGGCTCCACTGGGCACTGGGATGCCTGGATTCAGGACCCAGGACTCAGGACTCAGGATCCTGGACTCTGGATGGTGGATGGTGGCGCTGCCGTTGCGGCGGCTGTTTTCCAAATTTAATGGCTTAGAAAGCTATTTGCATTTTTTGGTTGCCCAACATTGTTTAACATTATGTTGCGCGGGATACGGTGCGGAGTTCCAGTTCGCAGTCACAGATTCCGATTCAGGTACAGCTTGGATGGACATGGACTAATTAGCTTTCCGAAACCGGCGCCAAAACCACCGCGAGATGCAATTAATGCAGCTCGACGCCAATTCCTCATAAGTGAGTATCTGCGACTATTTCACTGCGCCGCCCGAAAGTAGACTGCATATTTTGATCAAAGCCGCACAATTTGGCGCGTCAGCCGCGCCATTATTATACCCTAGCAGAGGGTATATTGTTTCCGTCAGATGTTTGCCATATAAAGTTGATCGGACCGGGACGGATCATAAGCGGCCACTTGAACTTGAATGCTAATTAAGACACAATTTCTAAGAAGCTAGATAGTATGATAAATCGTATTATTACCAAAGGGTTGTGCAAACTAAGGGTTGAGAATAATAACAGCACACTGGAAAATATAACTTCAGATTTCGGCTATTGTTGACCGCCCATGACAGGGATGCTCCTAACTTAGACTACCTCAGTTTTAATACGGGAAGCTGTGAAAATGCAATCCATGGTTTCTTTTCGTATCTATGATTTCTTGCCGCTGACTTATTTCAGATATCAGTGTGCACGGCAGTCTACGTAGTGACGAAGAGCTCTGAGAGCGCGATGAGTAAGCATAATACCAGATAGAGCCGTAGCATTGAAAATCTGCTACGATGAGTATTCAGGACCGTTTGTATGCTGATCAGAAGGTATGTATTTTTAACGTATGACACTTGAACTTGCCTCTAGCCCTGAAAACCAAAAGTTATATTCGAATGTAATTCCTTCTCACCTGCGTTAGTTTGCCATTGACAATGCTGAGCGACTCCAAGCTCGAGCGGACGTTGCGCAGACTGTTGTCCTTGAGCGCCTCCAGGTGCGAGTGGGAGAACTGCAGGTGCCGGATGTGGACGCCGGGCTGGAAGACGTCCTGCGATAGTGACGTCACCGAGCGGTCGAAGTCGTAGATGGACAGCGAGTGGATCGGCGCCGATATTCGCTCGAGGGTTGAGCGCAGCGATATCGCCGTCGTGCCAGGACACTCCAGGAATAGTCCTGAAAATAGGTCGAATTAATTATGTGCTTATCGCCGACGGGCAGGAGAAATTAGTTTTCGATTAGTTCAGATCCACTCTGGCCATCAAAGCAACTGTCCTGGCCCGTCGAAAGTCTGTCCAGATAAAGAGCCTGTCATATTCATTTCGTTTGACGCCCCATATGTATGCGAAAATGCCTGTCTTCCTCCGCAGGCGCTAATTAATATTCATGCGTGGTGTTGGAAGGACACGGATTGCAGGCGCCTTGTAAATACACTGTTTGGTTGGCCAAATCGAAGAAAATCACTCTTTGGTTTCTCTTCCGGTCGGTGGTTTTAAATTCGAAATGCAGCCTCAATCATCGTCCAAATTTTTAAATTATCTAACCTACTATCAACGAATATAACCAAAATATGGCAAAAATACCAAACATACATACAGGAATAATTTCCTTGACTCCACTGAATTAGTGTCCTGACAAACCTTGTTCAAACGATACTCTGGAGTCTTGGTAAACACCTCCTTTTCTGGGCGATGGTCTTGGTCCTACTCAACAAATTTCTGGGCTGCATATCTTTGGGAAGGCAATTGGAATAAGTTGTAGCTTTGTACCCTTGGTAGCATCAGGGTGCAACTCCAACAGAAATCTAAATAGGCTACAAAACCTAGGCTGACTAAATCAAAAGGGCTTCGATACTTTTCTTCTAACAATGGAAAAGGGAAACTAGTATCTATGGGGTATGAGGTATCTGATAGTCGATGGCTTCGTATTCGTCAGACTCGTTCCCACGTCCTGGGTGCAAAAACTTTGCCACTTTGCCTCGCCGTCTCGGCTGATGCGTTTAATTAGTTCGCTCGACCGTTCGCACTTACCATCCTCGAACTTGTAGCAGGGACAGGCGGTGTTGTCGAAGCTGGGGCACTCGATGCCAGCCGCACCCCCTCCGTCTCCCGCGGCGAGTCCTGTGCCGGGAGCACCGCCCGCCGGGGCTGCTGCTCCGCCGGGGGAGTCGGCCACTCCTCCTCCGCCCATCTCGGTGAAGAGGAGCTCACGTGCCGGGCCTTTGGCACTGGAGATCCTGGCTGAAGGTGTCATCGAGGCTGCGGCGCCCGGAGGCAGGGGCAGCAGCCCCAGCAGCAGGACAGCCGGCATCAGGGCGCACAGGAGCAAGTGCAGCTCCAAGTGCAACCGCAGGACATGCTCCTGTACGCCGGCAACATTATTGCGATTTCGGCCGTGTTGCTGTTGGTGTTGCCGTTGCTGTTGCCGTTGGTGTTTGTGTTTGCCTTTGCATTCGGAGTCTGTCGGTTTGGTCTGGTGTTCGTGCTCCTTGGCAGCCGCCGCCTCTTCATTTGTCCCCATTGCCATTTGCTCTATTTGACGTCCTTGTTGCTGGCGCTGATTATGCTGCTCCTGATGCGGCTCCTGTCGTTGCTGCTGCTGCGACTGTTGCTGCTGCTGCTGTGGATGCTGCTGCTGCTGCTGCTTGTTTTGACGTTTAGCTCGTTGTTTTTGCGGCACAAGTTTCCCCCGATTTTCCGATTCCTTTTCCTCTGCGAGGACTGCCGCCTGTCCGTTTGTTGACTTCGTGCATTTCGCTAATAAGTTTACCAGCGCTGCTGACGTCCTTAAATTGCTGCCTCTGCACATTTTCCTTGTAGTCCCCTGTTTCTCTGTGTTGCAGTTCCTGTTCCTGTTCCTGTTCCTGTTCCTTTTCCTGATCCTGGGCCTGTTCCTGCTCCTGCGTCTCTCAACGGCCGTCTGTTTATCCTCGTCTCGTTCAGCCGGTCTCAATCAGCGTGTCGCAATCGCCTTGATATCCTCCTGTTCCCATATCCCTGCAAAGTGGAAAGAGGAAAATCGAAGAGCCCAATTAATAAGGAATTAGCACACGCATTTTCATTCTAGAAGTGGATTTGGCATCGTTCAAAGTGGGGAAATAGTAACGAAAGGGCTTGAACAGTTTAACGCTTAACATACCGCCAAAAGCACACGGATGCCGAGACCCACCACGAATTAAAGAGCTAGTTAAAAATGTAATGTAATTAAAGTGCTAATGCGAAAACCCAGTTAGAGCTTAATTATACAGCAAATTAATGGTTCCATGCTTATGTGAGTGACTATGGAGTCAGGTCCCTGGACTAGCCCACATCCCACGGTCCCGGCCGCAATTTTATTTGTCTTTCGAGCGAGCGTCCTTTGGACCGAACTTTTTTCTGCCATGTTATGCTGACAGCATAAGACCATTTTTTTGTCGGACTGCCATCGTTTGTAATATGAAGTATTCTCTGGCATGCCTTTGCAGCAGCTCGCCCACTTTTTCTCACTCTTGAATTTCGTTTCATTTTTTTCATTTTTATTTTCAATTTTAATGCTCGCCGCCTCCCAAAAGGAATTTGTGTCAAGTGCGTGAATTTTTTTGGCCTTTCTGGTCCTAATATACCGGCTTCACCCTCGTGGGAGACGGTCACGTTGGCATGCTTTATTATTATTATTTTATTACTTAGTCGTTGTTGTTCGCTCGTTTAGTAATTAATGCGTTTTTTCGCTATTCCCTATTCGGTTCCACTCTAGGGCCATTAAATGCCATTAAAATTATGGCGGCTAATGCGCCAAATGACTCCTGCCGGCTGCCCGTCGTCTTAACCGGAAATTTCGTTGGCGAAAAATAAAAATGCCTGCAACGGCAGCTAAATATTAATTATTCCGAGTTTCCGGCGCGCAGCAACGATGACAGCAAAACAGTTCTAAATAATAAAACAAAGGGATTAGCGCAGCAGCTAGGGCATTGGAACAATAGTTTCTAACGGAGATAAACAGTATTGAAACAGCCTTTTTAGTCCTTCATGCTGTACTTCATTTATTTGTCCACGCTGAGCCCAGTAGACGTCCGCAGTTCCTTGGAGACTCTAATCCCCTGACCCACTCCACTGAGAACCACCTCTCCTTGGCCAAGAACTTGCCGGAGTTCCTTCGCCCCTGCTTGTGGCCTCGAAGCCCGTAACCTTTCACCCGCGCTGCGCTCGACCCCACTCCCGCCCCCTGCGACACCTGTAGTTGCCACCCCGTGCGCGATCGCCCCACCTGTCGCCTGCAGCGCTGGATGTCCCGTGGGGAATCGCAGTCCGGCGACCACCACGTTTCATCCCCTGGCTCCCGGCCTTTTCAATTAGTGGCCATGACAACTGAAGTTTTTATTGCGGCGTTTCCACTTTATTTTCCCATTATTCGGCGTTCGAACATTCATTTGAGTTGGGTTTCCCAAGTTTTCTCAGTCGCTGGTGGTCAGTTGGCCGGCAAGTCGCTCCGCTGCCCAGTCGGTCAGTCAGTCAGTCAGTCAGTCAGCCAGTCAGTCAGTCAGTCAGTCAGTCAGTTAGCCAGGTTTTGGTCAGTTGAAGGTTTAAGCTGGACTCGCTTACGCGGCTGGTTAAAAGTTATTTGAGTAACAACAAAAGCTCGTAATGCAAATGCTTTCGCCGTTGGCAAGCGAAACTGAACGAATTGAAATCAAATATGCAGTGGCAATTTATTTAACGCGGCCAAATCAATAAATTGGCATATCAATAAGTTAATGCAAAACGTGGCCGCCATTAAACAATTAAGGGCGAATTCAGTGAATGCAAAAGAACAGGCTCCAGTCTAACCAAGGACCACAGGTTTGTCCAGCCATTAAATAATTTGGCTGCATTTATTTTTTATGAGCTATGCTGCTGTTTACCGATGGACACAGTTTTTTCAACATTCAAGAAAAGCTAACATTGAGTGGCCGGTTGTTTTCTACGGGTACATATATTTCTAAATCATTTCAAATTTGGCCATAAATAAACTGATAGTTATTTATTAGCTAAATTACAAATGTACATCAAAACATCTCCGAAGGGCTGACGTTGCTATGGAAATTAAATGCAAGCTCCTTGGTTTTATAACCCTACTACTACTGGCTATCGAATTTCGAGAAAATTCCCAAGACAGAGCATATTGAATTGCGAATTCAATACGCATACGTACGAATCGTTAATAGGCAACTTGGCAAAAATAATGTACTTTACTGCACCACGATTAGATTATTTCGTCGCGGAAAAATAGATTGTTCCCTTATTAATTCAGCGAAATACAATGTTTTATATCGATGCCGTGGTTAGCCCAACAGTTGTATAAAGTATATGTACCATATGGAAAAGGGAACTCAAGTAAGTATCATCGGCTATTTGGCAGGATAATTTTGGCTGCTTCGTGGATTTGGATGGACATCCTGTAGTTTCTCAAATTCTCTGGTGCTAATTGGTGTGGATATCGCCGACGAAAGACCAAACTTGCATTTGTAGTGTAGTGTTTCTGTCGATAAGTTCAGAATAATTCTGCACACCACTAACACGCCGTCGTATAGTTATATACATATAAAAGGAGCCAAATACTTGTACATGTTGCCCACAACGCAGCCCTAGTGAAATCAGACCGCTAAATTCACACAGAAATACTCTGGCACCATTGCTACAGAGTAGTTAACACTATGCATCGTTAATCGACCTGAGATCGATTCGCATTGGCAACAAATAAAAGGGCCCGAGCAGCGAGATGAAGGGCCACTTAGCCCGGCTAGAAGAAGCGTCGAAAGCGAATGGCAAGCTAAAATCCAAGCTCCCAAGGACTGGGGCACGACAGGAGTGGACCGTTGTCCGTGGCAATGGAACCATCTGTAGGTCCAACTCGGGCCGAAAGCCCGGGAGAAACCTCAGCTCGGATGACATTAGCGATGACAAAGAGCACGCCAGGCGATTGCAAAATCAGCAGTGGCAACAAGCACTTTGCTTATTGGAGCAAGCAACCATCACTCACACGAATGCACTGAGAAAAACGATCACACTTAGCGCAGCGAGCCACTGCTGGGGATACTTCACCTCGTCGACATGAACTCGCTGAGGAGTCATCATGCCAATCGATATTTCCACTGTAATGCAATGGAGTCCGCATTCCAGCTCGAACATTCCATTCCTGAACAGCTCCGATCGAAAAACACAAAAACCGGGCACATAGTATATAGTGCTTTGGCACCACTGCTTTGTTTGTGCCAAATCTAGGCTTCCTTCTATGATTCCAGACCAACCTTACAATTATGTAATTGTTTTCCCTGCACAAAAGCTGGGTGGCAACGCTTGCTGTGGCCATGCTGACTTCCTGCCCCAGTGCCACATCCCCATCATCGCCTCCATTCGCTCTTTGTCATGCTTCTACTAGACTCGACTGCCATTTCATTTTAATGACTCACGTGACTCTTACCTATCTCTGCAGAACCAGACCAGCTCCCATCCGAGGAGGAGCACAGAGGCAATTCCAACTCCAACAGCTACACCAACAGCTACACCAACAGTACACCAACAGCAACATTGTCCATGGAAGCTGGGGCTGGGGCTGGGGATGGGGCTGGGGCGGGGGAAAGTATAATCATAATAATAAAAGTTATACACCTAACATGCTATTACATTGTAGAGGGGGCGTGGCTAGCAACAGCGGGGCATTGGACGAGATGGCGAGGTGTGTGTTTGTGTGTGTGTGCATTTTGAAGACGAGCTCCGCTGGGAAAGGACTGAGTACCACACCACCCCTATCGTAGTTAAAACAGCATCAACAGTAGTTAATTAGCATCGGCAAATGATAGGTTTTAATTAGCAGGACCTGGACAAGCCGATTTTCGAATTTCAAGGCCTTGGGGTTGCGATAAATGTTCCACATACAACTTTTGGAGGGAAAACTGTTTCAAGGGACATAATCGATTGGTCAAATCGGCGAGATGTGGCATTTTAGTGTGATAATTTACAAAGCATTGGCACTACTTTTACAAGATCAGTTTGTAAATAAAAGTATGTAAGTGATGCAGAACCCTTTGGCTGCGTGACAACGTGCCAATATTAGCCATACTTAGCTACCAGCACTTCATTTTGGCACTTGACATTGGTTTCCTTGCAATACTCGGCTTGCGAAACAGAGACATGCGTGTTTTCCTCAACTTCGACTGACAGGCCATTCATCAAAAAGCCGACTTCCGCCGTTCCCTGTTTTTCTTGGCCAACTTGTGCCCTTTCCCTGCTGTTCTACCAAGGGCGGGGTAATTGGCCACCCTGGAAAATGCCTGGTGCCCAGGGAAATGGCGGAAAAATACCACGTCAAATGAAGTTCAAATGAGGGAATATCACGTTGAAGCCATCGCATCAATTGTGATTGACAGTCGCGGAATTTTCAGCTAGGGGACGAGGCTGCTGGTGTTGAGACAAGCAATCTGCCGGTTGCTGTGGCTTTTAAGCGAACCAAACTCTGGGAAAATGTCACTTTGACAGGCGTAGGAGTGGGCCACAGAAGCTGAGATTCTGAAGACGTCTCAAATTAGATTTCCTTGTTGCCGGCTAACAGTCCCATTTCCATTTCGATTCAGATTCAGATTCCACTCGAAGCAGGCAGAGCTAGCTGCAGTTGGAGCTCCCATTGGAGAAGTGCCACAAAAACGGTTTCCATTTTCTGCCTAATACCATAAACAGCCATCCGCTCGTCTCAGTTCAGTTCAGTTCAGTGCAGTTCGGTTTAGTTCGTTTTAGATAGGTTTAGTTTGAAAATAGAATCAAGCGGAAAACGCCAAAGGCCCATAAACATGGCGTTTTGCCAAAAGAGAAAACAGTGTTGGAGCTCACGACGTTGGAATACCCTTTCGGGACTTTCGGGACTGGGTAAAAAGGAGGAAAAATTGGTGTTGCACTTGAGTTGGAAACTTGGTGAATGGACAGAAAGGGCTCCCCGCTTGAAATTCGGTAATTATTAAGCCAAATGATTTCAAAGTGCTATTTTACGG